TTTCAGGCAGAGTCATGCATTTCGGTTGCCCGATTCCCAAGGGTTCAGTTCAGATGTTCTTTCGATCATTTCAGGATCCCGATTGAACCTTAACCAGTTTTGGTTCGCCTGAACTTAACAACTCCTAAAACACTAGTACTAAATTCCTTGCCTTTCAGCCTCGTCAGCGGCTCTCTCCGCTCAACCACTTAATGGCCGCAGTATCCATTAGCTTGTTTATATAAAAAAAACTTCCTATATCAACTCCACAAGCTCTCTTGCATAATCGACAATATATTACCCACACATAGACACACACACAGACACTTGGAGGAAAAGTTTTTCAATTTTCCAAAGACCCAAACACTCGTCCCGTACACAAAAACAAATCCGAAACGCTGCGTGTAATTATCATAAAGCGAAATCTCGTAGCGCCAATATGAAGCTCATAACTTGTCCAAGACCCAGGCTCCATGCTTGGACCAGAGTTGGAGGTGACTGTCCGTGAGACGGGGTCTGAGGCCGGAGCTGTAGCTGTGGCTGTAGCTGAAGTCCTCCCCATTTGGCGGGGTTCATAACGATGTAACTTTCAATTTGCGTAATTTTCAAAGTGACTGCGAGGATGGAGCGTGGCCAACTGATCCCTCACCTAATGACTTCTGCCGTGTGATGCTATGAGAAATGGATGCCCGAAAGCCCAATAGGAGTTCGACCATCTCCCAGCGAGGGGCGTGGCGTGGCGGTGTGGTTTGGTGCTCTCTGCGGGTGTGTGTGTGTGTGTGTGTGTGTGTGTGTGTGTGTGTGTGTGTGTGTGTGTGTTGAGGTGCACGCTTGTCATAAAATGCCGCTTATTATGTTGGCTATTAATTTTTACAGCCTGGACGCGACTGTGGGGACCCAATGCCCCCAAGTCTGTGGTTGGTGCGGTTCTGGGATCGCCTGGGCTGGGGGTCTCTGTGGAAAGACTAGAGATGGCCAAGGCTGGGCTGGATGGGGTGTCTGATAATGGGTATGATTCTTTGAGCTTTGAGCCATTAACGGCGCACACATTAAAAATGGGTATCGTCGGTCAATAATTGGTAAGGGATCAATCGGCTCTTGTGTAAACCAAACCATTGTGGTGGAAGCTATCGATAATTGGAACAGCCTGAATTAGTGGCTCGTTTAGACATCGTTTATTAACTATCGCATTGATCGTCTGTCCTGCACGATCCACTCACGCAGACGCTCCCATCCCTAGCTCCGCGTAGAACGCTCCTAGTCAAGGGAATCTTGTTGGCGCTCCATGGCAATTTATGACAAGCAGGCAACGCTTCTTCCTCCTTGGCCATGGCGTGGTCATGGCCGTGGACCCGGGCTCTCATATCGCGGCTTCTATCGCAGATGTACAAATTTATTTTTGCGTTTGGATAGAGCAGAATGGAGTGGTGTGCAGGCAAGGAGTCAGGCCGGCCGGCAGGCTGGCTGGCCCATCATTAGTACTAACAAGCGACATTACGCGGCTTTAGTTTGGGGCTAGTTTTCGGAATGCGTATTTGATATGGTCTTGGCCTGTGCGCTGAGCCGAGCTGAGCAGAGCCTGAGCCTGAGCCCCAGTCTTAGCCTTTGTCTCTCCTCTGGGTATGTTTATTTAATGAGAACTTTTGTGGAATTTTTATTGCCCCATGTGGAGGACAGCCCGCCACTCTGTCCTCGCGTATTGGGGGCGTCCCGCCCGTACTTATCGTATTTTTGATTTTTCATGGGTTTATTATATTATTCGATGTAATCGTACGAGTTGCTCAAATGCTGAGCGAATTCCAGAAACTGGCTTTGATTGTTATGTGAATGGGCTTGCGATTGGTGCCCCCCACAGATGATTACGCAGCTAATGGGTTTATTCTCCCGATTTGATTGCGGTCTGTGCGAGTATCTTGTTTTTCATTGCCCTGTGTCCCAGTGGAGTAAACTCACATCCGACTAATCAGACCTGATTGATGATCTGTGCATGAACATTCCATTACTTACTCTACGCATAATTCTGCTTAATTGTCTCGGACTGGATAACATACCTGGAAGATAGCAAAGAGTATGAAATTAGTTGGGTAAATACATTTGGTTTAGTTTTCTTTATTGATTGAAGATTGGAGTATAAAAAGAATGGAACTGCAAACTAGTTTGTCTTCTATGAAGCACTTTCCATTGGGAATAAATACAAGAAATGAGTTAGAAGTTCTTCTACTACTCACACAATATCACAAGTACAATGGACTGATTTCCTACAGGAGTGGGGAACTCGTGGGGAAATTATAGCGTGACTGCCGAGAGAGACTCTGCAGTGACTCAACAATTTTTCACTTTTATTGTTGGCGTTTTCATGCTGTTGCATAATCAGAGACTGTATCTGATGGATGCCCTGCCACCTCGGCATCTCTTCCCATGGCATTGTCTTCCACCCTACCTATCGGGAGTGCACCCATCTCTCCCCTTTCACCCCCGTCGCTTAGCAGATCCCACGGGGAGCCAGCACTGGGCCATCTATGTAAAGTAAACATTTTAATTACGAAAAAAGCCAAAGCAACTTTGACTTTACTTTTTCCACTTGTTTCTTCTGCAACTTTTCAGGTAAACTGGGGGCACAACTCTCCTCTCTCTCTCTCTGTCTCTATATACGGCCGATGTTGTGCCTGACTTGCCATATAATTAAATACAAATAACAATTAAGATATACGAAGAGCTCAGCCGCAAGTTGAAGTTGAAGTGGAGGCTGGCAGGCTGGCAGGCAGTTCCATTTGTGGCTGCGAGCATGGATCAAGTCGGGCCAAAAACATAATTTAAGTTTTTAATTAAAAGCAGCCGACTTGCTCTGAGAAATGGTTTTCCAGCCACGACATTTATGAATTGAGACGTTAATTGTCATCAGCTCTATTAGATTCGGTGGGTTAGGGGATCGTCGGTGGCTCATGCCCGTCAATTGGCGGGACAGGCCTGTCCCATGAAATTGTCAAAAAATATCTATCGAAATATATCTGTGATAGGCAGACCAAAAATAATTTTCATATTTAATTGACAGTTTGGGACTGGACTCAAAGAGAGTGCCAGTGCCAGTGCCTGTCCGTGCTACCAATTCCATTAGCGCGACTTGTCAGCGGAGCAGCGGCGATAGCAGTATGCAAATACCCTTTGATCAGAGAAGGGATCTATTGGTTTTGCAGATTCTCACTGACTTGGGGACTAAATCTGCATCGGTATTGGATATATTGGACATATGATGGACATGTCAATGTAATGCAAAACATATTCAATTATGTGAATCTTTTATATGGTATCCCTTAGTCCAGGCGCCACATATTTTCTATATTTACGAGTGTTTCAGCTCTCTTCCCGCCGCCTGGCTTTGGGGCGTTTTGGTGTCTGTCGCTTTACTTAATGGCAACATGTTTTACAACATTATTAGACAGGCAGAAATGGAAGCCAGTTTTTTTGGTTGGTTTTTCGGTTTGGGACCAACAACTGGCAAATTTTAATTACCAATATTTTCCAGGTGTCGATACCCACTCGACCCACGCCAGAGGCAGCATTTTGCATTTTATGACAGGCCATAACCCACAGACAAAAACACACAGACTCGTATACCATAAATATATACCGGGAGAAACCCACTCTATATGGTAGCTGCTGTCTAATTAGCGTTTTGTGACAACCAGAGAAAAAACACTTTGAAATAGTTTTGTAATTGGCAAACATTTTGTCTGACCCCAACGGAAATTATATTTAATTTCATTTGTATTTATCGGCTGTAGGCTTAGCAAATTGAATTGTCGTCGCTGCCGTCTGGTTGGTGGTGGGTGGGCCTGGGTCTGCTTACGGATCTCGGGTTCTATATAAGCCTCTTATTTTTCCAATTTTATTAATTGAGAATTCTTTAAAAATATTGTTGGGCTTAGTAAGCGGCTTAGTTACGTCTCGGAGCTGCAAAATATAGATTCTGACAAGTCTAAGAATTCGATTAGGGTGATTTCTTTTATTTTACTTTGACGTGTCAAGAATTCGATGATAAGATAAGATATTCTTTTTTTGTCTTGATCGATTGGAACCAACTTTGCAAAGGTAACGAAACTACTTTTGCTTGTCTTTATGTACACTTTTACAAGATATCGATGAGGGTAATTATATAGGAAATATTTAAGTGTGGTGGTAGGCGCACTCCCATTTATTACCGCCTATTAATTACTATTTTTGTAGTTATACAACTTTTCGTATTGTTATACCCGTACTCAAAAAAGAGTTAAGGGGTATATTAGATTTGTGGTAAAAGTGGATGTGTGTAACGCAGAGAAGGAAACGTTTCCGACCCCATAAAGTATAATATTCTGATCAGCATCATAGCCGAGTCGATATAGCCATGTCTGTCTGTCCGTCTGTCCGTCGTCTGTCTGCTGTCCGATGAGCGCCTGATCTCAGAGCTAAAGGCTAGGGCAACCAAATTTGGTTTCCAGCCATGTGATCACCTGCTACAGTGTATTCAAACGCCCCGCCTCCTTCCCCCCCACAAAGGACGAAAATCTGTGGCAGGCACTTTTAAAGATACGATAAAACTAAACGCAGTATCGTAGAGATGACCATATCTACCAGACTGCCGAATCTGAATCAGTCGGACATAATTATAGCCAGAATGAGAAATTAATTCTGTTGCCCCGTGCCCCCCCGCCCACGACAACACAACTCATTTTCCTTCTCGCCCCTCTGCCGCGTTCAGTGCGCGGCAACCCCTAGCGGTGGAGATGTAGAATATGAATGGAACATGTACAATCTACATGTTAGATGTATAATAGACTTTTATATGTAGATGTAGATACATATGTAGCAAAAAAATGTAAAATGTAAAATTTTTTTTTTTCTAAAATTCTAAAAAATCATAAGCTCAAAAGTGTATGTATATACTGACTGAGTACGGGTATAAGTAGAGTCGTGTCCCCAGAAACGACTCACACGTTCCTTCTCGTTTTTTTTTACATTTTACAATGAAAGATGTTTAGAAATGTTGGTTCTTAATTGTTTCCTTTAATATTTTGTTTTATAATTCCGTACAAATTAAATTCGTAAATATAAATAAATAGGCAGTCACTTGTCACTCCGCCGGAATAGAGAAGGCATCACAAGAAATCTGCTTGTATTATGACCTATAGTCAATCATGAATCATCTGCATGAGTGTTTCCCTCACTTGTCCAGCAATGTATCGGATCACTGCTGCGTCCTTTTATCACTCCTCTAGCAGTGATGATGATGATGATGCGCTGGAGGTCCATGGTGTCCATGGTGTCCGTGATGATGATGATCGAAGTGATGTGGCGGTGGTCCGTGGTGGTGGTGATGATCGTAGTGATGTGGCGGTGGTCCGTGGTGGTGGTGATGATGATCGAAGTGGTGTGGCGGTGGTCCGTGGTGGTGGTGATGATGATCGAAGTGGTGTGGCGGTGGTCCGTGGTGGTGGTGGTGGTGTCCATGTCCGCCCAGGTGCAGCCCCAAGGAGATTCCGAACAAGCCTCGATCCTCGTGATGTGGTGGCGGCATTTTGTGGTTAGATCCCTTGGTTCAAGTAATAAATTCCTTTCTTTATGTGTTACGTGTCCGTAAGACCTCCTCTCCGTGGTTATTGAATGCGAACTGTGCTTTCTGCTTGACGAATGCCCGCTTATATACAGCAGATGAGTATATCGCTTGTTTTGTTCCATATGTTCAGATAAGATTACTTCGATTGCTGTATCTTATCGGGAGAGGTGTGTTACAGGTGACTCAGTGGGGATTCACTGTACTCTATCACTCGAACAGTCCAATTGGATCATAAAAAGTGTTTTATTATTGTTCAAATCCATGAGTAATACTCCCACTCTACTTCTGGGGGTACTTTCCATATTTCCATTGAGAAAGAAAAATACAAGTAATCAAATTTATTGAAAACAAACGGATGTTTAGAATACACATAACATTCCTCTGCCATTTATTTTTTGGACTGCGAAGCACATACATATGTACATATGTACATCCGTGAGTCAAAGGGAGAGAGAAAGGGAAGAAGGCTGCTGCTGCTGAAGAAAGATGCTGCCGAAATGAATTTCCGCCGTGTTTACCAGACAGGATAAATAAAAGCGTAGAAGCACCGACTTTTATATACCCTTTTCGAATGATCTGCCAATCAATGCCAATGCAATACACAAAGGTACGAGTACCTATGCTTCCTTCTGTCAGTAAGGGTATGGAAATAAAGTGCGAAAAGGAGAACCAGAAAAAAGAGGAAAAGAAAGCCAGAACACACTAGAGACCCCAAACAAAACCCAAGAGGGAGACAGCTGCAGAGAGATGGGGATGGCTACGGAAGGAGTCTCCCAGCTTTATATGGAGATTGGTTTGATGGTTCGCTTGAGGTTCGCTCAGTAGCTCCCTTTCTCTCACTCTCTCTCTCTCTCTCTGTCTGCCTTCTCTCATGCGAAAGCGACTTTAGTGCGTGACAATAAGTTTTGCCTTTGAGCCTTTTTAATGTTGTGTGGTGGTGGGCATGGCTCATGCGGGGGTGAGCTGCGGTAGGGCTCTGATAAACTGCGTTAGAAGTTATAAAGCGATTAGAATGTGTCTGGCTGGAGCGTTTCTTGGGGGGTTGTCAGAGACAGAGACAGAGATAGAAACAGAAATGGAGACGGAGATGGAGACAAAAGAGAGGAGGAAAAACTTTGCTGCTGTATCAATTTAATGCTTATTTAAAGTGCGAGCAGAGCACGAAACATCGGCGGGGTGGCGGTGCGGTGGCTCTGAATGGTACCGGGAGGAGTGGCGGTGCCACGGTCGGAGTGCAGGTAATACATAAATTTGATTTTATGTACTTGCGTTTGAAAGAAATTCTGCAAAAAGTTTGATAATACATTTTATTACCTCTGCAGAGAAAAACGTGGAAATTGCATGGATTGCCGCAGAGCACACAGAAGGCAAGGCAAGGGGGAGTGGAGTTTGCAACTGGATAATTCGGGCAGAGAGTTGTGATTTGAGAGAGAAAAGCATGAGGAGCAATGAAAAGAATCTTTGAAGAGCTCTTAAAATTATCTTTATAGACTATTGCCATTTAGAAACAGTTAGTAATCCTCCCCCCCATTTCATTAGAGTTATATCATCCTTTTTCTTACTTTATGGAAATTCCTCCGCTTCCTGAAATATGTTTTCCCTTTGGCTATATTCATCTGGCAGCCGAAAAATGTATCTCTCCCTCAAAGATATCACTGTCTGACTCATGAGCAAGCAAAACAACACATAAACCCACAGAAAATCAGAGCCAACCAGATTCAGTAAATCGCAAATTTTCTATGCATTTTCCCCCGCTCCAACGACGAGGCGAACCCAGACAAGCAAATATATGTATGCACATTCCCTTATATGTGTGTTCATATATATAAAAAGAAACCATAAAAAATGCAACAGACCATAATAATTTCAACGTTTTTTTGAGCATTTTCTGCTTTTGTCGTAGCTTCGCTCAGCGTTCCCTTTCCAGCTCCAGCTCCAGCTTAACCGCTCGCTCCATCCCCATCGAGGATTCAGGGTCTGACTATGCAAAAATGCAGCAGCCAAAAAGCATATAAAATTATTATGTGACGAGGAACGTGAGGGAAGTACGTGGACAGAGACTGGGACTGTGACTGGGACAGGGACAGGGGCAGGGGCAGGGACACTGCTCGGAGGCATTTCTGGACTCGGCCAAAAATCAGACTCAGCATGTGCACATACAATATTCTCGTAAAGCTCAAATAAACTCGAGATGTTGACAAAGGGTTAAAGGCCATAATTGTGGGGGAAGAACGGGGAAGAGGAGTTCCACCTATAAGCCTGGCCAACCGAAAGTGGAAAGTGGAATTTGTATTGAAAGTGTAAACACAACCAGCGGGGGCCCCCAAATGGGATAGTGAACGGATTGTGGGTTACGGCCGTTTTAATGGATTTTTGTTGAATATATTTTATTAGTCGAAATCGGGAGTTTTTTAGAACTATTTGTATGTCATTTTATGAAGTTATCTTAATGGTGCAAGGAGATTTCTACTGATGGATAAACATTTTGCGAGTTCTTAAAACATCCATTAATCCAAGACTTAGCTGCGGCATTACTTGCTTGTAGAATTGCTTGAGTTTTAAAGTTAATTCATGCTCAGTTGAGCTCTCTCTTTCCCAGTCCTCAAATATATTTTCTCCGCTGCACCATATGTACAGCCATAGGACACACCATATGACGGCTGTGCCAATTAAGTTTTCAATTTCCGCAAGTCAACTTCAAAGACTTGAGCCAGTACACAACCCCTGCAGAAACAAAGCCACAGGCATGGACATGGCCTAGCCATGCGAAGGAGTACTGGAGTCCTGGAGTAACTCCAGTCCTAGTCCCCAATCCATCCCATCAGCATTTGTTGACATTTCATTATTCATAACCCACCCTCGAGATGGTATGGGTTTCTCGGATTTCGGGGGTTGCAATTTCCTGATTTTTGTTTTGCCTACACACGTAATAAAAATAATAATAATATTTTGCTCCTGGGTCCCCCGACCCTGCCCCAACCCTCCTCCGATGTGGAGCGTGTGTATAATTTACGATAATTGCCCCGAAGTTGTGACATTTTCAATTAATTCGGTGCTTCACTGTATCAACACTTGCCACTGATAAAATTCCCATAAATTGAAACAGACTTTAGGGCTAATTTTGTGTTGTAGTATTTGTAGATTCCCTGCCGGATATCCTAGATCCCATATCACCCCATCCCACGCCATCCCATATCATATCATGAATGTGATGAAAAAGCAGTTGAAAAATCATTGCTTATTGTTAATTTATTTCCCTTTTGGCTGTTGAAATTTCCTTTGCTTTTTCACATTTTTCACCATGTTTTTCTCACTCTCTCTCTCTCGCTTTTATTGACTTTATGGACTCGTACACGGATGTGGCATTTCCGGTAAGGAGTCGCCCGCTGTACCCCCGCTGTACCCCCGCAATCCTAAGCAGAGAAAGGGGACATTGACCATAAAAGAGGAAGAGCCCCAGAATACACAATACAATGTGGGACAGAGAGAAAGACGGACGGACGGACACACACAGACAAGAGCATACAACAAAAGCCTCAGTCAGAGCTTTTTTAAGCGCCTTGCCCTGAGCTTGTAATGAACTTTTATTTGCATTGTAGCGGCTACAAAAGAGGCGGGTGGAAGATACACCCATGTACATTGTACAGGGTGCAGACAAGTGGGCCACAAGTCGATACAACCGCATACACACACCCATTTCAATTCATTCATTTAGCCCATAAAGCCACGACGTCGTCTGATGCATCCGACAAGGGGAACTCTTAGAGAGTCCCCCCCAACCCTCCCTCCCCGTGCACATAACCACCCGCACCAGAATCGATTTATGGGCATTTCCGGGTTGAAATCACTTAAAAGAGTTTGCCGGGACAAAGACGACGCCGACGGAGACGAAAGAGACGAGGAGGGAATCGCTTGTTAGTTCCTTTGTGCTTGGGTTTTATGCTCTTCCTTCCGTTTTCTTTCCCTTCCTACCATTCGAACAGATCTAATGCATTCTTGGGGTCTGCCCAAAAAATGTTTGCAAAAATTTGTAAGCTTTATAAAATAAATATTCAGCTCTGGGGGCGAGCAGGGGCAGCCACAAGACTTTTAAGGGATGATATTACCCTCGAATATTTCATGATTTTTGAGGAGGGGAAATCTCCTCATGTGTGAGCTTAAATCATCTCTGGGCACGCATCTTTGATTGAGTTATTGTCGGGCCAAGTAATTGAAATTTGGGGGAGAAAAGTCCATTTGCCGGATAAATTGACCGATCGAAAGTCACCCTCAAGTCAAACACAACATCCAGGGGAGAGACACTTGTGCAGTAAATAAATCCAATATCTTAAATCTTCAAAGAATACCGAATCCATCCAGAAATCGAATTCCTTCAATCATAATTAACTTACGATTTGAACAGTTCCCTTACCATCTTTAACAAAACCTGTTAGCTAAGCTTTTCTCATCCTTTTTCCACAGCACAAAGCCTGAACGGCTACATCAAAGACATATTTTCAAGCCAGATTATCCCTTAAAGTTTAAACCCTCTTTGAAGGCTGATCCTACATCAGTTCCAGCATTTAATACTTATCGCATAGCCGCATAAGCGACTCTACTTTGAACCTAAAAACAAAGTAATCTACCCAAGAAACTAATCGCACATCAAGCTATTGGGGTCCTATCTCTAACCAAGACCCGACCCCACCCCAAAGCTCATCCATCCCCAAGCCCGAACCCAAATCACAATTGCTTTTGATGGAAATCTTTGGCCTACCTTTCAGGTGCACGCAACATAACACTTTCCTTGGCTGACCCATTTTCAATTTGTTCATTTCGCCAACAAGTTTTCTTTTTATAATCTATTTGAGCTTGGATTTTCGCTGAAATTTCATGCCACTTAATTATCCCTTGGTGGCCCAGGCGTAGCGGTAATTAACCCATTACCTGGCACCTGGCACATGAACAAACAAAAAACTGCAAACTATTCAACGCGTCATGCAAAGGAGGAGGGAGAGGCCACTCCTGCACATTTTTTATTTGCCTGCCAAGGCTGCCAAAAACATGCTAAAGGTGTTGGCTGGAAACGAAAGCAAAAAA